ACTGGCAGAACACCATAGTGCAGTGGAAGAGATTCAACAGTCAGTTTTGATGGGTCAATCAAGTGATTTTCTTTCCAGCAACCCATGGAGGAAGGAAAGAAAATTGGGTAATCTATGACTTGCTTTAAGATATGGCTAAAGTTAGCCAATCACAAACTTCCTTTTTTCTAAACTGATTTGATCTGAAATTTGGTTTGGATTTGGGCATACTTTTTTTTTTTTAATTTGCCATGCTCACATTTCATGTATTTCTTCCCCAATTTGCTTGTTTGATCATTTTTTCTGCATACCAAAAATTAATAAAAGTATTCCAGCTTTCAGATGATGGCATTTAGGAAAATCCACTGAAAAGTGATTGATATGTGACCATAGGAGTCATTTTTTTAGTGTGATTGAACTAATGAAATCTTTGGATTAATAAAGTTGTTGTAAAGGCTTAAGTTTTTTTTTTTCATTCTATGCATGAAGGTAAAAAACCTTCTGTGTGCAGCAGCCCCCTAATATATACCTGAGCCCCAATCGTGATCCAGCGATGTGCATGAGTGCCTTGGCTCTCCAGGGTCTCTCCCTTCTCATTGACTATTGGCTCCCACTGCTGTCAATCACAGTTAGTGAGCCATTGAGGAGAGAGGGGGTGGGGCAGAACTGCAGCCGTGTGTGAATTGACATGCAGAGCAGTGGCTCGGGAGCAAGCCTGCTTGGGTTTGCCCACAGGAATCCGCTTGCTGTGGGGGCACTCAGCAGGAGGCCAGGAGTGCCAGCGAGGGACCCGAGAAGATGAGGATTGAGGCTGCTCTGTGAAAAACTACTGCATAGAGCAGATAACTATGATATGTTTGTTATTTTACAAAAAAAATGCCTTTAACCACTTCCCGTCTGGCCCATGTAGATAAACGGTAGGATGGGAGCGCTGCATTTATAAACGTCACCCTGCATTGATTGCCTGTGCGCAGTCCCTGGGAGCGCGTGGCACAGCGATCGGTGCCAGATTCATGTGTTCAATGATTGGCCAACCAGTGATCACATGAATAGTAGTAAACAAGATGTCACGTCCTGACATCATTGCTTACTACTTGTGAAATCTGTGAATGATCACAGAGGTCACATGGTACATGCTATTCACAACAGCCTTGTACCATGTAACAAGCTGTGACCAATCACAGTTCTCACAGTATTTCCCAATGGCTGCAAGAATGCAGCCAGAAAGAAGGAGAAATGATTGCTTTTACAGCCTTTATGAGTGTAAGAGCAATCAGTGTAAAAAAAGAAAAAAAAAAATCTTCATCACCCTCCACAAGTAATACAGTGTCACTATTGTGACACTGTACTGCTAGGGTGACAGTATGTAAAAAAAAACATAAATAATAATATAAAAAAAGTAAAATAAAAATGTAAAAAAAAATTTAGAAAAATTATAATTTTGGTTATAAACTAATATGGGTTATTTTTTTTTTTACTAGAAAGATAGATGAATATATTTTGGACAAGATTTATGAAGAAAGATTATTTATTTGCTAAATTTTATAAGAAAAACACTTTTTTTCAAAATTTCTGGACTTTTTTTTTCATTTATATAGCAAAAAAATAAAAATCCCAGTGGTGAATAAATACCACCAAAATAAAGTTTTATCTGTCTCAAAAAAATGCTAAAAAATTCATATGGGTACAGTGTTGCATGACCGCGCAATTGTCATTCAAAGTGTGCTGAAAATTGGCCTGGACTAGAAGGGGATGAAAGTGTCAGGACTTGAAGTAGTTAATACATATTTAAACAAGCTTTGGAATGAGACAACTGTTTTTTATGCATCCAGGATTTGGTCTTCTGATAGGTGATCTCACCATCCTGACCAGAGAAGTAGCAGCCTAGGACCATAACCAGGACTACATACGCTCCTCTGGTGTAATTTATTAAAGGTGCTTATACAGCGCCGTCCATTTACATTCTACATTCACATCATGCCTGCCTTCAGGAAGCTTACAGTCTAAGGTGTTGCATGACCGCGCAATTGTCATTCAAAGTGTGATAGCACTGAAAGCTGAAAATTGGCCTGGACAGGAAGGGGGTGAAAGTGTCCGGACTTGAAGTGGTTAATATCACTTTAAATCATTGGACTGATATGGTTTCATACTCCCCTGTCCGAAACCCAGTGAGATCTTTCTCATGAATCCTTCTAGCAGCTTGTCAAAATCTTCTGGCCTGAGCCCACGCATGCCCTCCCCATTCATTCTGTAGCCTCCCTGGTGGTATTCCCGAGTGTAACTCGGGGTAAAGTTTCAGTACCACAAGCGGTAACCCCGAGCTACACTCGGGCTTACCATGCAGCGCTGCTCCACGATCCCTCGATCACTTACCTTGTCCTGCGCTCCCGCAATGTCCCTCCTGCAGTGTCCCCGGCAATGTAATCCGGCGGATGCCGGCATCTGTCATCTGGGTTTCGTCCCCTGCGAGCGTCGGGACGTACGGGGGACGGAACTGGCGGGAAATTTGAAAATGACAAAAAGTGACATTCACTAAATACACTAAAATCTCATAGTAAAACATTCCTGTATCAACCCATTTCACATACATTTTGTCCCGAGAGTTTGTCCTGCGCCCTGCCTGCATTTTTACTGTTCTTTCTGCCTGGAAACTGAGAAATGTCCATGGCGTCCAAAAAGCGTCCCTTTAGGTCAAAATCGGTTTTAGACCAGCTAGAGAACAGCGATAGTAAATCAGAACCACTTGCAGAATTGAGTGATAATGATTCGTGGGGAAATTCATCATCAGACACTGAAAACGATTCTGCGACTTTGCTCAGTGATGTGCGAACTTGGCGCTCTATTTCAAATTTCAGTGTTTTTGGTTTGATTATATTATTGAATTAAATTTATTATTATTATATTATTATTTTTTATGATTATTTATTAAATTATAATTCATGATTTTGTGTTTCCAGATTTATCCTAACCGGGATGTCTACTAGACTCTTGTTCGGACAGATTTCAGTGAGCTATTCCTAAAAATTACAGGCCTACAATAAAAAAAATACATATTTCAATGCAAAAAATGTACTGCTTTGAGCACAGAAATATGGACATAATCAGACCGCTAGGGAGGTTAAAGGTGCTTATACAAAGCGCCGTCCATTTACATTCTACATTCACATCATTACCTGCCTTCAGGAAGCTTACAGTCTAAGGCAGCAATGGGCAAACTACGGCCCACGGGCCGTATACGTCCCAGCGGATCTTTTAATCCGTCCCGTGGAGCGTGATACTGTCAGGGTGGCTGTCAGGATGTGTGTAGGCGGGCAGCGTGACGAACGTGAGGGGAGCTAGGCTCCTCTCACAGTCCGCCCTGAAGACCGGAACGGCGCGGGAACACGGCGAGAGGAACTCGCGGAGCAAAGGTAAGTAAATTGACACAGGGGGACTTGGCTTACTACTTGGGGGGGAATAGTACTATGGGGGATGAAATACTATATGGGGATGAATTAATATGGGGGATGAATTAATATGGGGAATGAATTACTATATGGGGGATGAATTACTATAGGGGGGATGAATTACTATGGGGGAATGAATTACTATGGGGGATGAAATTTACTATAGGGGGATGAATTACTATATGGGGGATGAATTACTATATGGGGGATGAATTACTATATGGGGGATGAATTACTATGGGGGATGAATTACTATGGGGGATGAATTACTATATGGGATGAATTACTATATGGGGGATGAATTACTATGGGGGATGAATTACTATATGGGGGATTAATTACTATGGGGGATGAATTACTATATGGGGGATAAATTACTATATGGGGGATGAATTACTATGGGGGATGAATTACTATGGGGGATGAATTACTATATGGGGGATTAATTACTATGGGGGAATATTACTATACTTACTATGGATGACACATACACATCATTCATCTACTCTTGGTCCGGCCCCCGGGTCCAATATATGAACCCATTGTGGCCCTCAAGTCAAAAAGTTTGCCCACCCCTGGTCTATGGTTTTGGACGACCGCGCAATTGTCATTTAAAGTTTGATAGTACTGAAAGCTGAACATTGGCCTAGGCAGGAAAGGGGTAAAGTGTCCGGACTTGAAGTGGTTAATATCACTTTATATCATTGGACTGATATGGTTTCATACTCCCCTGTCCCAGACCCAGTGAGATCTTTCTCATGAAGCCTTCTAGCAGCTTGTCAGCCTGAGCCCACGCATGCCCTCCCCATTCATTCCTTAAAATTAGATTGTAAATTATATTCCTTTAAAATGAATAGAATGAACAAGAAATGGGACCCTTTTGTTATCCTCTTGTTATTCTTACACATACGGTGTGGCGTGAGTGTAACCCAGACAGTGTGAGATGTCAATCCCACCACTAGCAATTCAGCCGTATTCTGGCCAGAGACAGACAGACATCTTACTGTCTTGGGCCACAGAGGGAGTGATTCCGCAGGGACAGACAGGCAGCCTCTAAAGCGATCCCAATGCTGGTGACTTGTCTCTCACAACAGAATCGTCTCCCTGACATCAGCCCCAGGGCGATGTCAGATGGGCAATTTTGTAGCAGTGATTAATCGCATTTACAAATTGCTAATACCAGCAATTAACAGAGATTTGTAGCTAGCGATTTAATTGCTAGAAGCAATCTGTCGCTGTTACAAGTTAAACGAGTGTTACAGCATTGGGTTGATGCGTTCTGATAGAAATCGCTCTTCTTCAGTGATTTGTAGCTAAGCCATAGAGATGAATGCAGAGCGATTGTTTCTGGCATGACAAGCTGCTCAAACGCTAAGCTACAAATTGCTGTGAAATTAGCATTTCCAAAGAAAATGGGCAGCACAGTGGCTAAATGGTTAGTACTTCCGCCTGGCAGTACTAGGGTTATTGGCTCGAATGCCAACCATGGCACCACCTGCCTGGAGTTTGCATGTTCTCCCTGTGCCTGCATGGGTTTCCTCCAGGTACTCCAGTTTCCTCCCACACTCCAAAGACATGCTGGTAGGCAGGGGTGGACTGACAACTCATGGGGCCCCCGGGCAATAGAGGATCATGGGGCCCCTGTGTCCTTGCCCAAACTCAAAAAAGCCTATGAAAAAGGTACCAGGGGCATCTCGTGGGGCCGCCTACTGACCCCGGGCCCTCGGGCAGTGCCCGAGTTTCCAAATGGTCAGTCCGCCCCTGCTGGTAGGTTAATTGGATCCTGTCTAAATTGGCCCTAGTATGTGTATGTGAGTTAGGGACCTTAGATTGTACCCTCCTTGAGGGTGAGGGACTTATGTGAATGTTCCATATATATGTAAAGCGCTGCATAAATTGACAGCGCTATATAAGTACCTGAAATAAATAATAATAAATAACTAAACTAGAAAATGCCATGTGACAAGGTGGGTATCTTTCACACTGGTGGCTGCTTAGAGCCTCCCCATCTACCCCCCTCAAGTCTACCATACAGGCAGTGGGGGCTATTCAAATGCTGCGCCCGCAATGCTTTGTGTCATGGCAAATTTAAAACTGTATGTTGAGTTGACAGGTTGCATCACCTGCCATACTCACCCTTTTAGGTCAATAGGGCCACACTGCAACCATGAGCTTGGCTTACAGTTGTGGCTCATTAGTCCCACTGAAAATTAAAAAAAAAGAAAAGAAAAAAAAACAGGCATTGATGAGGCAGCACAATTGCCTCCTGAACGTCTGACAGCGGCTACTTAGATGCACTCTAAAAAGCGATCCACTATTCAGAGAATATGCTAGTGTGAGCCTTACAATGCTCAAGCTTTGCTCTGACAATTCTCTCTACTGCCCCCTAGCGGTCAACAACTGCAATGTTTTTCATTTGTCCCAATGCTTGTCCCAATCCCAATGACAATGCTTGTCCCAATTTGTCCCAATGCAATTGATCACTCAAATTTGACGTCAATCATAAAGAATTCTACAGGTTTTATAATATCTGAAAAGTGTGAGATTCTCCCTTAAGTGTATCTAAAGGCAGAGCTTTTTTTTTTCTGGGGGGCACTCACAAAGGGGAGCCTTAGCTGTATATGGCCCACCTTACCAGAGCCAGTGACGTTTTTCATCATTTGATTGTACAAATAAGTGTTGAAGTTCCTGAATATGTTCTGAGGTTTATATTGCTGTCTGGTGAGATCCACTCTTTCCATTTGTCCTCCGACCACAATCACCGACATTGAAAGTGAGGGAAATTACAAAAATCTGAGTTGTCACCAGAACAGGAATATCGGGTCTATCATCTAATGTGGACACTTGTTGAGGTGACAGCTACCTAGAGGGGATCTACTTCTCTTTAGAGAGATTTTCTCTCACTTCCTGTTGTGTCTCCAGGACAGGAAGTGAAGGGGAATCTCTAGAATGGGACACAGATGGAAAAAAAAAAACTTGACAAGGGTTGTAACCATCCCTACTTCATCCAAAATGGGGACAAAACGTTTGGCTTTGGCTTATACTTTAATAAAAATAATATTAACTCAAGGTGTTTAAATGTTAGGGCTCATGTACACTGCAGCTGATAAACTCATGTTTGAATGCTGGAAATTGACAGCAGGTAAACGCAGGTTACAAAATGTCAGTTTTGACGCGTTTGCATATCGCGTTTAGACGTGATTATGCGGTTTTTAAAGATAAGCACAGGAGAACCTCCCAAATGCCCAGAATGCACTGAAAAGTGGTAAATTATTAACTATTTCAGACTGTTTCAGAGAAATACAGAGAGTAGAAGCAGAGACAGCAGTATGTGTTGAGATTAGCTTAGGTATTAGTTGCTCATTAACATTTCTTCCAAATGCCCAGAATGCACTGAAAAGTGGTAAATTATTAACTATTTCAGACTGTTTCAGAGAAATACAGAGAGTAGAAGCAGAGACAGCAGTATGTGTTGAGATTAGCTTAGGTATTAGTTGCTCATTAACAATTCTTCCAAGGGTGGAAAAGGTGCCTAGTGGAGTGAATCATTAAGGCCACCCAGAGGCAAACTGACCATTTGGAAACTCAGGCACTGCCCGAGGGCCCGGTGGGTCAGTAGGGGGCCCCATGAGATGCCCCTGGGACCTTTTTCATAGGCTTTTTTGAGTTTGGGCAAGGACACAGGGGCCCCATAATCCCCTATTGCCCAGGGTCCCCATGAGTTGTCAGTCCTCCCCTGAGGCCACCTGGCAGGGGGTCTTCATGAGGAATTTGAGGTGTGAATGGTCATTAACATATCTTTTGTTTCCAAGGGTGGGAGAGATCTGAGGTGTGAATTGTTCATTACAATGTGTGAGAAGCTTGGTGGGAACATCCTGTGTTCAGTGTTTTGTCTATTTGAGTACCTTGAAAACGATTTGCATGCATTTTTAATGATGAAAAAAGGCTCTGGACAGCATCTGGAAAAGGAAGAGTTAAAAAAAATTTCCAAGCGCAAACGCGGTTAGCCGCATTTACAAGTGTTTGGCATTTGCAACACAAATAGAATCTACTGCTGAACGCAAGTTTTCTACGTTCAAAAAAACAACTGTATACTCAGCTGCCTGTAAACGACATAGTGTACATGAACACATAGGAAAACATTAGGGAGAGTTCAGGGGCTGCTGAAAAAAACACAGAAAAGCTCCTAAACGTGAGTTTATCATCTGCAGTGTACATGAGCCCTTAATCTTGTTTCTATGTATAATTATACGTTTATATGTAAAGGCAGGCAGCAATATTTACCCAGAACATGTGCAGTCCCGGATTCCTGCATAGAGTGAACATGTGCTCTTCAATGCTGGGCAATGCAGCAGGTTTACTTGATCATCCACTGTGCATGCTCCTCTTTCCTTCACTCCACCTCTGCTCCATTCAGCTGGAGGCAGAACACAGAGAATGCTTCAGTTTAATGCATTTGGCTCCATATAAAGTAAGATTTCAGGTCATAAGCACAGCAAAAGCAGGCAGTGGAGTCATGGTTTACCGCTTCCCGACCCTCTGCTCAGGGCTATACCAACGACAGCATGTTCAGCAGCCGATACCCTTGCTGAACATGACCCATTCAAGTGAATGGGGCTGTGCTGCAACCACCCTGCACTTCTGTGCAATGCTTGTGGTGCGGTGAATTGCCTTTTTGAGGGTTAAAAAAGGTGATGAAAAAGCAAAATATTGCCTGTCAAATGCCTCTGAAAAGTGATCCACTAGGGATCGCTTTTCAGAAGAGCAACAAGCACTGCTGCACATGTGAATGAGTTAATTGCATTCTGCTCCGCGAGGACGTCCAATGACGAAACGCGTAGGGCGGGGCTTAATGGATGTGACGTCAGGACGTTCCTCGAGACTGTCGGCTGTGCTACCGCGGTGAGCGAGGCTCGTCCCTGCTTTTTCAGAGGCTGTCATTGCTGGTGTCGGCTTAGGCACCTTTCATCTGATGTTTAATAAAGTTTATGGTTTTATAAAAACGTACTGCACCATCATATCTTTTCTTGATTCCCCGAGTACTGCCACAATTTATGGGAAGATGATGACCATTTGATTAAAGGGTTTTCCATTCGTGCTGATTGGCTGATTGCAGTATATTGCTCCCAAACCTTGGAGATCTCTACAGATCATCGCTCCCAGAGCAATAGCGATTATGCTGATTTATAATTCGATCAGTATATAGCTCTGGTGAGTTTATTCATTTCATTCAGTGGTGGATTTTTTCACGGTGTCATTTGTTTTACACAAGACTTCAGAATTGATTGTCACTTTACGGTGGTTGGACTTTACACAAGATTTGTGGACATTATTTTGCATTTATTATTTATATATATTTTTTTTGTGGAGATTTGATACTATATTGGTTATTAGCGCATCCCTTTATTTATTTATTTTACACACCTGATTTGGGTCAGCGTAGTTTTGTTTATTATTTTTGGCGCTTTTCTTATTATTACTACTACACATTCATTTAAATGGGCTGCTTTAATGCTACACGGCTTCAACTACCACCTATATGCCAACGACACACAAAATCTATCTCTCAACCCCCCACCTCACCCCCTCGGTCTCCGCCCGAATCACACACCTACTGAGCGACATATCAGACTGGATGTCGCTCCACTTCCTTAAACTGAACCTCTCCAAAACCGAGTTTCTTGTCTTCCCCCCCAGCCTGGACCCCACCCCCCATTGACTTCTCCATCACATCCAACAACGCCACCATCAAACCCGCCCCGCAGGCCAGAGTACTTGGTGTCATTCTGGACTCCAACCTGTCCTTCCAGCCCCAAGTCCAATCTTTAACAAACTCATGCAGACTCCACCTCCGCAACATCGCCAAAATACGCACGTTCCTAACCCCAGAAACCACTAAACAGCTCATCTACTCCCTCATCATATCACGACTCGACTACTGCAACTCCCTCCTCACTGGCCTGCCGCGCCGCGGGCTATCCCCGCTTCAGTCCATCCTGAATACGGCTGCCAGACTCATTCACCTTTCCAACCGCTCCGTCTCCGCCACCCCCCTCTGCCAATCCCTCCACTGGCTTCCGATTGCCCAACAGATCAAATTCAAAATCCTAACATTGACGTACAAAGCTGTCCATAATTCTGCCCCAAACTACATCACCGACCTAATAGCCAAATACCACCCAAAATGCACTCTCAGCTCCTCACAAGACCTCCTTCTCTCTAGTTCCTGATCTCCTCCTCCCATGCCCGCCTCCAGGACTTCTCCAGGGTTTCACCCATCCTCTGGAACTCCCAACCCCAATCCATCAGACTATCACCTACTCTCCCCCCCTTTAGGCGCACCCTGAAAACCCATCTCTTCAGGGAAGCCTACCCCACCCCCTGCTAATTCCCGATCTCCTCCACTCTTCCTACCACTCCATCCCCCACAGCTAACAGCAGGCCTGAGTACTTGGTGTCATTCTGGACTCCAACTTATCCTTCCAGCCCCAAGTCCAATCTTTAACAAACTCGTGCAGACTCCACCTCCGCAACATCGCCAAAATCCGCACGTTCCTAACCCCAGAAACCACTAAACAGCTCATCCACTCCCTCATCATATCACGACTCGACTACTGCAACTCCCTCCTCACTGGCCTGCCGCGCCGCTGGCTATCCCCGCTTCAGTCGATCCTGAATACGGCTGCCAGACTCATTCACCTTTCCAACCGCTCCGTCTCCGCCACCCCCCTCTGCCAATCCCTCCACTGGCTTCCGATTGCGCAACGGATCAAATTCAAAATCCTAACACTGACGTACAAAGCTGTCCACCATACTGCCCCGTACTACATCACCGACCTAATATCCAAGTACCACCCAACACGCACACTCCGCCCCTCACAAGACCTCCTTCTCTCTAGT